CGTCACGGTGCGCGGTTTCGGCGCGCAATATAATCTGGTCACGCTCAACGGTCGTCAGCTCGCCCGTCCAACATCGTCGCGGTCGGCGGCGACCCGGGGCAACGACGGCGGGCGGCTTCGGCCGGTCGTTCGACTTCTCAACCTCGCCTCCGAAGGGTGAAGACGCTGGAGGTCTACAAGACCGGCCGCGCCGCCATCCCCTCGGGCGGCATCGGCGCGACGATCAACGTGGTCAGTCGCCGTCCGCTCGACTCGGCAGACACCGGCCTCGTCGGCTCGCTGGGCGTAAAGGGCAGCTATGACAATAGCTCGGCCGACTGCATCGACTGCGGCGCGCGCGTCACGCCCGAGGCGTCAGGCACGGTCGGCTGGTCCGACAGCGAGCAGCGCTTCGGCGTGTCGCTGTTCGGCAGTTATCAGAAGCGCAATTTCAGCTTCGCCAGCGTCGCGCCGGACAATTGGAATATCCGCTCGCTGAACGACTTCCTGAACCCCGCCAACGGGTTCGTGAACGCGGCGACCAAGATCAACAACCGCCCGTCCGGCAATCCGCTGGTCTCCGTCCCCAATGACTTCCGCTATCACTTCTCGGAGGCCAGCCGCGAGCGCATCAACGGCCAAAAGATCATCCAATTCCGCCCGACCGACACGCTGACCTTCACCGCCGACGGCCTCTATGCCCAGTTGCGCCAGTCGGAACGTCGGTCGAGCCAGTCCAACTGGTTCAACCGTCCGTTCAGCGAGGCGACGTTCGACGATGCCAGCAACGGTATCGCGACGACGCAATTCCTGTCGAGACGATCAACGGCGTGAAGGACGCCGCCTTCGAGCAGGCGTATCGCGCACAGAAAGAAACAAGCTGTACGATTTCGGCGGCAATATCGCATGGAAGCCGACCGATCAGTTCACCCTGTCGATCGACGGCCATATCGGCGAGGCGCAAAGCTCGCCGGACAATCTAATGGCCAGACCTCGACCACCGTCGCGATCAACGCGCCGGTCGTGGCCGCGCACAGCCTGTACTGGACCGACAACGGTTTCCCAGCAGACGCTGACCATCAATGACGGCACGCGCAGCACGACCCCCCCGGGCCAGAGCTTCATCAAAGGGGCAACAACAACGGCATCCTCGATGTCGGCGATCTGTCGAGCGCGGTGCAGCGCCAGTTCGCGTCGAACCAGACGCAGCGGATCAAGGAGATTCCAGCGCCGATGCCGGCTGGGAACTGAACGACCAGTTCCGCTTCGACGCCGGTGGCGACTATCGCACCACCACTACGCGCCAGACCCAGTACAACACCCGCCGGTGCTGGGCGACTGGGGCAATTCGCTGCCGCCCGACGTCGCGCAGCTGGCCCCGGGACAGGTCTTTACAATTCTGCAACACCTGCAAGTTCGAGCATAACAACCCGAACGCCGACGCGAACACCCAGATCGCGTTCCGCACCCGACGCGACCAAGCTCTACAACACGCTGTTCAACCATTATATTGGCGTGACCAACGACGGCGTCGACCATCGCAACAATATCGACGCCAACAGCGACAATTCGGTGCGCGAGAATATTTGGGCGGAGCTATCTCCGGGTTACCCGGAACGGCACGGTCTTCAGCCCGCACCGCACAGATCGTCGCCGGCCTGCGCTACGAAAATACCAAGGTCAGCGCGGTCTCGCTCCAGCCAGTGCCGCTGGCCATCGTCTGGACCGCGGACAACGACTTCGTCGTCCAGAACAGCACCGATCGCCGGGCGATCTCGGCGCGCGGATCGTACAGCAACTGGCTGCCCGCGATCGACGCCAAGCTGGGGTGATGGACAATCTGTTCGCCCGCGCCTCGTACAGCAAGACGATCTCGCGCGCGCCTTATGGCAATCTGTTCGCCTCGACCGGTGTTGGTGCCCCGGGGCGGCCGACCGCGATCGGCGGCATCGCGACGGGTCTGCCAACAATACCGGGCTATTGCCGCTAATCCTCCGACAATATCGACGTCACGCTGGAATGGTATCCACGCAAGGACGTGTTCCTGTCGGCGGGCTTCTTCGACAAGCAGGTGCACAATTTCATCAGCAACACCGTCGTGAACCGCAACCTGTTCGGTCTGCGTGACGCGACGTCGGGCGCGGCGGGCACGCGCTCCGGTGTGGCGAAGGAGCAGTTGACCAGCACCTTCGGCGCGGACATTACGGACGTGAACCTGTTCACCTATACCGCGCTGCTCCAGCAAAATAACGGCAATGTCGCGGCCCAACGCGCAGTTCGGCGCGAACTACAACACCCAGAGCCGTGCGCTGAACCGGGGTTTTGTCGACCGGTGCTGGGTGCCACGGATGTCAGCCCGAACGCCAGCGATCCGCTGTTCAACTTCGCGGTGAACACGCCGATCAACAATCGCGATGCGCATATCTACGGCGTCGAACTGGCGGGCCAGTATTTCACAGGCGAAACGGGCTTTGGCATCGCGGCCAGCTATACGCTGGTGCGCGGCAATATCGGCATCGACATCGCCGCCGATCCGACGGTCAACACCTTCGCGCTGGTCGGCCTGTCGGATACCGCCAATGCCACGCTGATCTACGACAAACACGGCATCTCGATGCGCCTGTCGTACAACTGGCGTGACAAGTTCCTGAGCGATATCAACCGTGGCGGCGACCGCAACCCGGTCTTCACCGCGCCTTATGGTCAGCTCGACCTCTCGATGAGCTTCGACCTGACGCCGCGCTTCGCGCTCGGCTTCGAGGCGATCAACCTGACGGAGGAGGGCGTCAGACCTATGGTCGCGACCGCATGAACACACGGGTATCTCGCGGAAGGCTCCGCCCGCTATCTGGTCGGTGCGCGCTACCGCTTCTGATCCCGGAACTCGGAAGGCCGCTGCCCCCGGCGGTCTTCCGGGTATAGAAAGGTGATCATGACCTTCGTGCTGCTCAACAATGTCGATCACCGCGATCTTCGCGTCGCGGTCGGACATCACGCGCTATGGCGATGCGATCAACCAGACGCGCGTCTTTCCGGCCGAGTTCGAGGAATTGCAGCGCGATTATGCGATCCTGCTGCGCCGGGACGAGAGTGCCAAGCTCTACGCCACGGTGTTGCTCGGCCTCGACCCGGACGAGAATCTGTTCCTCGACGGCGAGCATTGGGATGCGCGCTATGTCCCCGCGACACGGGCGCGCGGGCCCTTCTCGATCAGGCATGACGCGGACGGCGCGCCGATGGTGTTCGTCGATCCCGATCATCCGCGCCTGACCCCGGACGGCATGCCCGTCTTTCGCGATCATGGCGGGAATGCGCCGTTGCTCGATCATGTCTCGGCAATGCTCCAGCGCATCTATGTCGGCGTGCAGACCGAGACCGGGTTGTTCGACGCGCTCGAAGCCGCAGGGCTGCTGACGCCCGCGCTGCTGCAACTCGATCTGGACGAGGGCCGCTACAATGTCCCCGATTGCCTGACGATCGATACCGATCGGCTGGCGGCGCTGGAGCCGGAGACGCTGGCGGCGCTCACGCGCAGGATCATTTGCGCCCGCCATCTGGATCGCCTCGTCGCTCGGCAATCTGCGCCATCTGATCGATCGCAGATTCGCAAACATGCCCCAGGCTGATCGCCACAGACTCCAGCGGCGCGGGTTCGCGAGGTGCCGGCGGGCGGCGCGCTCGATCTGGAGGCGCTGATCGCCGAGGGGATGCCGTCATCCTGCGCAGCCATGCCGCCGACTGGCCCGCTGGTGCGCGAAGGCCGGCACTCGGCGCGGCCGCGGCCGCCTCTGCGCGCCGCTTCGATCAGGGGCGGCCCGTCACCGGCTATATCGGCGACCCTGCGATCCGGGGACGCTTCCATTATGACGCGAGCGGTACCGCGCTGAATTTCGGGCGCGGCCCTTCGCCTTAGCCGAGTTTCTAGCCCAAGTGCTCGGCGATCGGTCGGGCACGGCCTATTATATGGGGTCGACCGATCTCGACACCTATCTGCCGGGCTTTCGAAGCGAGAACGACCTCAACCCGACCGGCGAACTGTTCGCCCGCCATGTGCCGCTGGCCAGTATCTGGATCGGCAACCGCACCATCGCCTCGGCGCATTACGACATGGCGAACAACGCCGCGATCTGTGCGGTCGGCTGCCGCCGCTTCACGCTGTTCCCGCCCGATCAGATCGCCAATCTCTACCCCGGACCCCTCGCGCCGACGCCGGGCGGGCAGGTGGTGAGCATGGTCGATTTCGCCGCGCCCGATCTGGAACGCTTCCCCCGTTTCGCTCAGGCTATCGAACGGGCGCAGGTCGCCGAGCTCGAACCCGGCGATCTGCTCGTCTACCCGCGCTCTGGTGGCATCATGTCGAGGCGCTGGACGATTTCAATGTGTTGGTGAACTATTGGTGGAATGCCGCGCCCGATTTCCTCGACAGCCCGATGGATACGGTGATGCATGCGATGCTCTCGCTGCGTGACCGGCCGGCAGCGGAGAAACAAGCTGGCGCGCAATCTTCGATCATTATGTCTTCGGACCGGCGGAGAGCGTGACCGGTCACCTGCCGCCTGCGGCGCAGGGACCGCTGGCGCCGCTTGATGACCAAGGCGCGCGGCGGCTGCGTGCCTATCTGCTGCACCGGTTGAATCGATGAGCGACACGCGCCCGATCACCCGCGTCGTCGTTGCGGGGCAGCACCGCCGGCTGGCTGGCGGCGACCGCGCTGGTGCGGCAATTGGGGCCGCTCGTCGATGTCACACTGATCGAATCGGATGATATCGGCACGGTGGGCGTCGGCGAGTCGACCATTTCCCACCGCGCGCAGCTTCCATGCCTTTCTAGGTGTGGACGAGGCCGCCTTCATGTCGGCGACCGGGCGACGTTCAAACTGGGGATCGCCTTCGAGAATTGGCATCAGCTCGGCGCGCGCTATTTCCATCCGTTCAGGACGGTCGGGCGTGCGGTGGCGATCGCCGATTTCCAGCATTTCTGGCTGGAGCGCGCGTTCATGGTTTCGGGCGTGACTATACCGATTATTCGCGCGAAGCCCGCGCGGCGGCCGAAACCGGTTCGCGCGCGATGCAGGCAAGACCTTGGCCTATGCCTGTCATCTCGACGCCACCGCCTATGCCCGCTTCCTGCGCACCATCGCCGAACCGGCGGGCGTGATGACCCGTCGAGGGGCGGATCATCCGGGTCGAGCAAGACGGCGAAGGCGGCGACATCGCCGCGCTGCATCTCGAACGCGGTGAGCGGATCGCGGGCGACCTGTTTATCGACTGCACCGGCTTTCGCGCGCTGCTGATCAGAGGGGCGCTGGAAACCGGGTTCGAGGATTGGAGCCACTGGCTGGCCTGCGACCGCACTGGCAGTGCAGACCGAGGCGGTACGCGAGGCCTCCCCGTACCCGCGCCATCGCCCACCGCGCCGGCTGGCGCTTCGCAGATCCCGCTCCAGACCCGGGTCGGCAACGGCACGGCCTATGCGGCGACCGGATGAGCGAGGACGAGGCGGTGGCGACGCTTGCCCGGCGAGGTCGAGGGGAGGCCGCTGTTCGATCCGCGTCCCTTACGTTTCCCCGCGGGCGTGCGGCGGCGTGCGTGGAACTGCAATTGCGTCGCTGGGGCTGGCGGCGGGCTTTATCGAGCCGCTGGAATCGACCAGCATCCATCTGGTGATGATCGCGGTGATGCGCTGATCCATCCTTCCCGTTCGCGGCGGCGATACAGGAGCGCTGGCGGCGCGCTTCAACGCCCAATCGGCGCAGGAATGGGCGCATATCCGCGACTTCATCATCCTGCATACGCCCAGACCGAGCGGGATGATTTCCCTTCTGGCAGCATTGTGCATCGTGCCGCTCCCCGACAGCCTGAAGGAGCGGATCGCACTCTTCGTCGAGAGCGCCGGCGCGTGGCAGGGGCAGGACGATCTGTTCCATCGACTCCACGGGTTTCGGTGATGCTCGGCGGGGCTGATGCCGCGCGCCCATCACCAGATCGCGCGCGAATGCTGAGCCCGCAGGCGCTGCGCGAGGTCCTTATCGGGGCTGGACCGCCAGATCGCCGAAGCCATCGCGCCGATCCCGCCCACGCGACGTTCCTGCGGGATTACTGTCCGGCCGCCTGACGCGCGCGCCACTGTCGTCCGCCGACGATACCGGCAGCGGCAACGGCCAGCCCGACAGCCGCCAATCCCAGGGCCAGCGAGACGGGCTTGCCGGGCGTCCTGCACCGGGAACAGGCTGGCATCGCCGGTGAACAGGCGGGCGCAGGGTTGGCCGCCACCGCATCGGGGCGTTCGCGCTGCGGAAGTGACCGACGCCCGGTAGCGTGATGGTCGCGAACGGGCCGGTGAACTGGCCGGCACGTCATCCGCCGTGGAGGGTGGGTTTACTGTCCCTGGTCGCCATGGATGTAGAGGGTGGGCAGCGACAGGCTGGTTCCCGCCTTGACCGTTCGGCCAGCCAGCGCCCCCTGCAGGATCGGGCTTCGCCTCATCCCCCAACGCGCGCGATAGCTGTGGATTCGTCACCTCCAGCCCAATCGGGATTGTCGAAAGGACTTCGCCACCCGGTCGAACGTCGCTTCGTCGAACCAGCCCGGCGGCACCAGTTGGTCCAGTGGATATGCGCAAAGCTTGCGATCGTCACGCACCGCCTGCGCGCGCGCGCGGTCGCCATGAACCAGTGATACCATTGCCGCTGCGCCCGGGTCGAAGGGGCAGTGGGCATGCCGCCCAGCAAGGGCGGGGTGCTGAGCATCGCCATCCGCTTGACCCGGCGTCGGCCAGCCGACCGCCAGCGCCTCAGCGATATTGCTGCCCAGTCATGGCCCGCATTTCGGAACCGGGTGATGCCCAGCCCGTCCATTAACGCGATCGCGTCGAGTGCGAGGATCGCGCTGTCGCCGGTGCGCGGTATGTCGGCACGGCGGAAGCGCGACTCGCCGAACCGCGCAAGGTCGGCACGATCACGCGCAGGCCCCGCCCCTGGTCAGAACCGGGACGATCGCCTCCGTGTCGATGCGTCATCGGGCCAGCCATGAAGCAGCAGCACAGCCGGACCATTACGCGGGCCGGTGTCGGTATCAGGCCATCCAGCCCCGTCAGCGTCATCGTCGCCATTCTGCCTCGTCTCCCGATCTGCAACAGACAGAACCGACCGCCGTCCCCGATGGTTCAGCGGTGGTGGCGAAAGGCCATGGCGATCAGTCATCCGGTGGCGTGTTCTCCTCCAACGCCGCATACCAATCGGCGTAAGATGTTGCGCCAGATGGCGATTCAGGTCCTCGCCATCGGTCCACCGGTCGGGCCACGCTCTCCCAAGGCCAGCTTGGCATTATTGACGTCGGCTCGTGCGGCGCGAAGCGCATCAACGTCGTCCTTGGCCAAAGCGTCCACACCGCGCGCCGCGCCCGCATCAGCGCCGCGACATGGGTTTTGGCGATCCTGCTCGGACAGGTTGGGATTGGCGCGGCGCCAGAGTCGCCCGCGCACCACGATATAGCGGCCATCGGGTGTTACGGGTGGGGGGATCGGCCATCTCCTGCGATCGCCGCACTCATCCGTGGCGCGGCGTCCCCATCCAGCAAGCGGATGAGCGAGCCCAGCAGCAACCGCTTGCTGAAGGGTTTGTTACATATCGACCCCCCCGGATAGCGATCACCAATCGCGCGCTATCGTCATAACCGCTGGCGAAGAGGAACGGGATGTGCCGCGCGGTCAGCGCATCGGCGACCAGGAAACGCCATTTCGCCGCAGATTTCAGGTCGATCAGGGCCGCATCGATCCGGTCCTCGTGATCGATCCGGGACAGCGCCTGCATGACCGACGGCTCGGGACCGATCACGACCGCGCGCTGGCAGCCTCCAGATCGGCCTGCATATCATAGGCCAGCATATATTCGTCCTCGACGACGAGGATATGGCGATGGTGGAGTGGCGCTGATGCACCTCCTTCATGGTCCGATCCGCGAGCGGATGGTCAATAAAAGCACCGGCGCGGATCATCGCCATAACATGGATGGAGATCAGCAGTTCTTTTGGGTGGTGATGTCGTTACCTTGAAACATTGGCTCCGATAAGGAGCTTAACTATCCTCCATGCGGGCCCAGCTCGTTACGCAGGAGTCGATCGGCGTTCAAACCGACAGGCCTTGTCCGCCGGGCGTCCACCATCAGGTCGCGGCCCGTCCTCCGCTGACAGGAGAGGATGCCGATTGGCCTTCGCTTGTGGACGCTGTTGGGCGGCGGCCATTCCAGTGCAATGCTCCCTGCCGGCCGAACCCGCCTCCCCTGCTTGGCCTCGCGACTCATCGGTCCTCGACCACCGCGCGCCGCTGCACCGAGTGCCGCCATGACCCGCCGTACGGTCCAATCGCTCGCTCGCCCGTGCGGTGGCGTCCAGCGGTCCCCGTTGATCACCCCTTCGACGAACCGGATCGTCGGCAGCGGTGTCGGCGGGGGCGCAAGTGAACTGTCCATTGCGGCAGGGGCGCCCGGCGGCCCGCTGTTCCAGCGTGCGATAATCGGCCGGGCCGATACGGGCAGCGGAGCGGCGTCGGCGGACAGGATACGCTGCGACAGGTCGATCCGGACGGCGGTGGGGGCGATCCTGGCGATCAGCGCCAGATCTGGCGGCGGCGCGCGCTGCCGATCGGCGGCGCTGGGGGCGGACGAAGATATGCTGGCGCGGGCGAGCTGGGCCGCCCGACGCCATTGTCGTCCAGCGAGACGCAACGCAACTGGTCGACATGCAGGTCGATGGGGCGGCTGAGCTGGCGCGCGCAGATCGGCGGCCAGTACCCGGTCCGCTGGGGGTTCCAGCCGGGGCGTGAACACCACCACGCGGATGGCGGATCGGCTTGGCGCCATAATCGATGTCGAGTTGCCCTGCCGCGACGTATCGGGGAAACGTGCGCGAATCGTGTCGCGGGTCTGGCGCTGCGCGACCGCCTCGAACGCGATTCATGCAGCGCGGCGACGAGCAGGATCGACAGCACGCCGAGCGCGCCGACGAACAGCGCGAGCTGCCATCCTGTATATGCTGATGCGACAAATGGCTGCCAAAGTTATAGAGGCGCGCGACGATCGCGGGCGGTCAGCGCGATGGTGACGGCGTTGGTCAGGAACAGCAACAGCGCACGCTGAACACCGTCCAGTTGGCGGTGGCGATCCTGAAGCCGACCACGCCAGCGGCGGCATCAGCGCGATGGCGATCGCTACGCCACCACCGGCATTGCCGCCCCGGATCAGCGCATAGGCGCCCGCCACGGCGGAGAGCAGCGCGACGAGTGGTCGAACAGCGTGGGGGCGCGCGCCCGGCGATCTCGCTGGTGATGGTCTGCACCGGCGACAGGGTGACGAACACGACCGACCAGCGCGATCGCGATGACCGCCCCCGCGATCAGGGCCGTGGCGGCGCGGCGCATCTCGCGCGTGTCGAAGGTCGCGATGCCGAAACCCAGCCCGATGATCCCGGCATCATCAACGGCGACAACAGCATCGCGCCGATGAGCACCGCGACCGAGGGCATCAACAGCCCGAGCAGCGAGATCGCGGCGGATACGACGATCAGAAAGGCATAGCGACCCGACCAGCCCAGATCACAGGGCGATCTGGCGAAGCACCGCATCATGATCGACCCCTCCCACGACCGGGGTCCACCATCGCCGTATCGGTTTCGACATGGGCCGTCTGTTCTGCCATTTCCGCTATGTCTTCCACCGGTTGAAAAGGCTGTGCTACGCCATCCCGGCCGGCGCGACGACCCCTTTGACAAAACGGGGCGGATCGCCGCGGCATGTGGCCTGGCCATGGCGCAGCCACCGCGTGTAGAGCCGATGTACGGCCGAGTCAGACCCGCCCGCCCCGGACACCAGATTGGACGCCCGCGCGTTACCGGGCGCTCCTCCGTCGACAAGGGCCGCGCTCGGTGAAGTTTCGACGGGCTGGCCATCCTGATCGGGGCGGGTGGCGACGGTCTCGCCGCCACGCTGTTCGCCCGCGCCGCCGATCTGGCGGGCAAGATGTTCAGCCATTCGCCGCGCGCTATCACTGGCACCACTGGTGATCACGCCGCCTGTTCGCCATATTGGTGTGGATCACGCGGCGTTACGTGCCGCGCGCGCGGCTCGGGCATTCCGCAGGTGATGGCGGCGCAGGCCGATCCGGAGCGGGCGACGCAGGGGCTGGTCTCCAGTCCGCATTGTGATCGGCAAAGGCGGGATTGACGCTGGCGGCGGTGCTGGGCGGCGCCTCGGTCGGGCGTGAGGGGCCGACCGTACAGATTGCGGCGGCGATCGCGGGGCTGACCCACCGTATCCTGGGCGTGCCGTTGCGCGGTGCCGTGCTGATCGCGGGCGGCGCGGCGGGCGTGGCGGCGGCGTTCAACACCGCTCGCCGGGCTGCTCTTCGCGATCGAGGAACTGGCCTCGGCCTATGAGCAGAAGGGGTGACGCTGCTGGTCGTCGCCGCGATCGCGATCGCGATCGCGGGCATGGTCGCCCAGTCGGCGCAGGGGATTATATCTATTTCGGGTTGATCGGCGCGCATATGCCGATCGTCACCGCGCTGGTGGCGGCGCCGGTCGCGGGGATCGTCGGCGGACTGGCGGGCGGCGGTTTCGCGCGGTTGATGCTGATGATGGCGATGGGCACCAGCCGACTGGACCCTGTGGACAGAAGAGGCCGATCCTGTTCGCGGCGATGTGCGGTGGTCGGGCGGCGCTGGGCGTTGGCACCAGGCTGACACAGGGGCGCAGGCTATGGCGCGGCGCGGGCGATCGTCGGCGTCGATGCGCCCTTTTGTGGTTCGGGCCGGCCAGTTCTCGCCACGCTGGCGACGGCGGTGGCAGGCCTGCCCGGTGGCATCTTCGCGCCGTCGCTGTCGGTGGGGGCTGGACTGGGCAATCTGCTCCGCTCGATCTTTCCGGACTCGCCCGCCTCGGCGATCGTGATCCACGGCATGGTCGGCTATTTCCGCGGGGGGTCCGTGCGCCGCTGACCGCCGTGATCATCCTGTCGGAGACGACCGCCAGCCGTGGCCTGATGCTCCCCCATGTTCGCCGCCGCCTTCATCGCCGATGGCGTCAGCCAGTTGGTATGCCGCGAAAGCTCTATCACGGCTGTGTCCCGCACCTTCGCGATGCGACGAGCCAAACCGCCCCGCAGGGGAAGCGATATCATGATCCGGGCTGGCGGAGACTGGCACGGCGAGGGCGATGCCGCCAGATTCTGCGTCCGCTTGACGCAGCGGAGCCGAAACCGCCCCCGGCGGCCGGGCAGTTCGGACCAGAGCTGGAACTGCGCGCGGTGGGCCGGGCACGCGCACCGCGCCGTTCGCCTGCGCGATCACCGCCGCCGCATCGCCCAGCAGGACGGCGTCCGCCACATGCTCCGCATAGGCCAGCCGGGTCGCGGCGATCAGCGCCAGCCACCCGCCGTCATGCGGTCCCGGGACCTGGGGCCCCGCGCCATATGGGTGCGCCCGCCAGGCACGACCGCCCATTCCATGCCGGCGGGCAGGGGCCGCAGGCCGCCGTCGAAGAAGATCTTCACGCCGCGCCGATGATGCGCGCCACCGCCTCGGCCGTCTTGATCCCGTCGACCGCCGCCGACAGGATGCCGCCGGCATAGCCAGCGCCTCGCCCGCCGGGAACAGGCCGCGTGTGTTCAGGCTGTTGCCGTCCTCGCCGCGGGTGAAGCGGACCGGCGACGAGGTGCGCGTCTCGACCCCCGTCATCACGACATCGGGATGGTCGCAGCCCTCGATCTGGCGGCCAAAGGCGGGAATCGCCTCGCGCATCGCCGCGATGACGAAATCGGGCAGGCATTGCGACAGGTCGGTCGGCGTTACGCCGGGGCGATAGGAGGGGGTGACCGACCCCGAGCTGGTCGAGGCGCCCGGCGGGAAATCGCCGACCCGCTGCGCCAAGCGCCTTGTAGTTCGAGCCGCCGGCGACAAAGGCCTGTTCCTCCAGCGCGTTGCAGCTTGATCCCCGCCAGCGGATCGCCGGGATAGTCGCGTTCGGGATCGATCGCGACGACGAAGCCCGGAATTGCGTTGCGCTCGTTGCGCGAATATTGGCTCATGCCGTTGGTCGCGACGCGTCCCTCCTCGGAGGTGGCGGCGACCACCGGCCCGCCAGGCACATGCAGAAGCTGTGGGCAACGGTGCGCCCGTTCGAACAGTGGTGGGAGATGTGATTTCCGCCGCGCCGAGGATCGGATGCCCCGCCTGATGCCCGAAGCGCGCGCGATCGATCCAGCTTTGCGGATGCTCGATCCGCACCCCGATCGAAAAAGGGCCTCGACATAGACGCCCGCCGCCTGCAGCATCGCGAAGCTGTCGCGCGCGCTATGGCCGATGGCGAGGACGACATGATCCGCCTCAGATAGCCGCCGCCGTTCAGATGCAGCCCGCGCACCCGCCGTTCACCGATCCGTCGGTCTCGACATCGATGCCGTCGACGCGGGTGGAAAAGCGATATTGCCGCCCAGTTCTCGATCGTGGCGCGCATGCTCTCGACCATCGTCACCGGGCGGAAGGTGCCGATATGCGGATGCGCCTCGGTCAGGATTTCGGGCAACGCCGCCAGCCTTCACGAACTCGGTCAGCACCTTGCGGTTGAGGTGACGCGGTCCGATCCGGCTGTAGAGCTGCCGTCCGAAAAGGTGCCAGCACCCCTTCGCCATATTGGACATTGGATTCGGGGTTGAGCACGCTGCGCCGCCGCCACAGGCCCCTGTGTCCTGCGTCCGCTCGCGCACGACCTTGCCGCGCTCCGGGATGATTGGGCGATAGCCGGCTTTGGGCCGGGATCAGGGCGGCAGGAACGGTCCACAGGGACCGGCACCGATCACCACGGGGCGCTTTGCTCCCGCTGGTGGCGTGCTCGGCATGTGATAGCGGGTGTCGGGCGTCCGCTGCACATCGCGGTCACGGCGGAAGCGTTCGAGAACGGCGGCTTCGTTCTTCAGGGTGACGTCGACCGAATAGACGAGCTGGATATTGCCCTTGTCGCGGGCATCATCGCCGCGCCCAGCCACGCCACAAAGCGGATCATGTCGCGCGGCGTCACGCGCAGGCGGCGGCAAATGGCCGCGGGCAGCGCCTCATCCGCATGATGGAGAGGCAGTTTCAGTTCACTGAGGCGGATCGTGGCGCGCCATACATGCTCCCGCGGCACCGGCGCCAATCCACAAGCCGGGGTTGGGATGCGTCCGGAAGGTTCAGGCGTTGCCGCCCGCCTGTCGTCGTCGTGGCGGATCGGATCGAGCGCAGCCAGCGCCATTCTCCGCGTGCAGCGCGGGCCAGCGTTCGCCAACCAGTAATCGCCCGCTCGGCCCGGAGGATTGGATCGGTGCTGGTCGCGACATCCTCGGGCAGCAGCGGCTTGCTGGTCGACGTGGAAGAAGGTGCGTACGATCGGCGTCTGCGGGCAATCGCTCTCGCGCACCACCAGTCCCAGCCGGTTGGAATGCAGGCGGACCAGCGCGCCATAGGGCTGGATGCCCGTGCTGGCGACGAAAGGCGCGCAGCATTTCGGGGTCGAGATGCCCCGCCAGCCCGCCATCCGGGCCAGCGCTAATGCAGGGGACGAGCGCGCTTGTACGGCCGGATCGACGTCACCGCGTCATAGACGTCGCAGATCGCCGACATGCGAACAAAGACGCTGAGCTGCCTGCCGGTCAGTCCGTCAGGATAGCCGGTGCCGTCCATCTTTTCGTGATGATGGCGGCAGACATCGACGATGCGCGGATCGAGATCCTCGATCCCCACCAATATCGTAAATTCCCAGCGGGGTGCTGGCGCATCTCGGCAGTTCGTTGATCGTCAGCTTGCCGGCGCATCCAATGATCGCGGGGCGACCTGCATCTTGCCGATATCGTGCAGCAGGCCAAGTATACCCGCGACGCGGATATCCTCCTTGCCGAGGCCCAGATGCCGCGCCAATCCCATCATCAGCGTCGCGACCACGACCAGGTGGATATAGGTATTGGTCGCCGTCCTTCAGCGGGTGACCACGAGCATGGCGCCGACCCCTGGCGATGAACTGCGCGATTTCCTCGACCACGGGGCCGGGTCGGGCGTGCACCGAATGGCCCAGGGCCGCGCCTCGCCACAGGCGGGAAACGGTTGCGGTCGCATGCTCGGCCAGCGCGGTCGCCATTTCGGTATCAGTGCGTGGCTTGCGGCGGCGTGGGCGAATCAGGCGACGGTTTGCGGGCAGGGCCGGACCCCTCGCTCGTGATGGCGGCGGCCAGCGTCAGGCCGCGGCCCTTGGTCAGATCGATGGTGATATGGGGTACCGACGCGTGAATCTGGGCCCGGTCGCTGGGTTCGACCAAGAGGGAAGCTGCGCCAGAACGGATTGTCCAGCCACGAGCAATGCAACGCATGGATATACATACCCAATTCCGCCTGCCGCCCTTCGATGCGGAGATAGCGATTCGGGTCGGAACGGTCGGTCATGACGCCAGCCGTAACGCAAAGCCGGTAAAGGCTTCGTTGAGCCATAAAATCGATTTCGGGCCGCCCCGTCATTCTAAGGCATTGACCTAGGTCGATAATCCATTTTGACGTC